CAGAAGTATTTGCTTCTGATTAGCCCCTCCCTCAATATGCCTCCCCTCTATCATCTCCCCCATTCTCTTATCCCAACGTTCCATACCCAATTGAGTGTATATGTTATTCCTTTCTTAAGCCAAATTCAATGAGAATAAGATTCATTCATTCCCTCTCACCTTCCCCCACTTCCCCTCCACTGTAAAAGCCTTTTCTTGTCTGTTTTATGTGAGATAATTTATTCCATTCTATCTCTCCTTTTCTCCTTCTCCCAGTATAATCTTCTTTCACCCTTTAATTTTATTCTCTAATTATGACCCCTTCGTTTTCAACTCATCCTGTTCCCTCTATCAATCTATTTATCCATATAATTTGTTTTCCCTCCAATTACCCTAATACTGACAAAGGTTTCATGAGTTGCAAATATTATCTTTCCATGTAGGAATGTAAACAGTTCAACCTTAATAAGTCTCTTATGATTTCTCTTTCCTGTTTACCTCTTCATGCTTCTCTTGAGTCTCGGATTTGAAAATCAGATTTTCTGTTCAGCTGTGGTCTTTTCATCAAGAATGCTTGAAAGTCCTCTATTTCACTGAATGTCCATTTTTTCTCCTGATGGGTATGTGATTCTTGGCCATAATCCTATCTCCTCTGCCCTCTGGAATATCATATTCCAAGCCCTCCAGGCCCTTAGTGTAGAAGCTGCTAAATCCCGTATTATCCTGATTGTGTTTCCACGATACTTGAATTGTTTCTTTCTGGCTGCTTGCAATATTTTCTCCTTGACCTGGGAACTCTGGAATTTGGCTAGAATATCAGGGAAGTTTTCCTTGATAATTTCTTGAAAGATAGTGTCTAGGCTCTTTTTTTTTGATCTTGGCTTTCAGATAGTTCAATAATTTTTAAATTCTCTCTCCTGTATCTATTTTCCAGGTCAGTTGTTTTTCCAATGAGATATTTCACATTGTTTTCTAATTTTTCATTCTTTTGGATTTGTTTTACAGTGTCTTGATTTCTCATAAAGTCATTAGCTTCTAATTGCTCTATTCTAATTTTTAAGGAAGTATTTTCTTCAGTGAGCTTTTGGACTTCCTTTTCCATTTGGCCAATTCTGCATTTTAAGATATTCTTCTCCTCATTGACTTTTTGGACCTCTTTTGCCATTTGGGTTAGGCTATTTTTTAAGGTGTTATTTTCTTCAGTATTTTTTTTTGGGGGGGTCTCCTTTAGCAAACCGTTGACTAGTTTTTCATGATTTTCTTCATCACTCTCATTTCTCTTCCCAGTTTTTCCTCTACTTCTCTTACTTGCTTCTCAAAATCTTTTTTGAGCTCTTCCATGGCCTGGGACCAATTCATATTTTTCTTTTTTTTTTCTTTTTTTTATTTTTAGGCAGTTGGGGTTAAGTGACTTGCCCAGGGTCGCACAGCTAGCAAGTGTCAGGTGTTTGGTCTGAGGCTGTATTTGAACTCAGGTCCTCCTGACTTCCGGGCCGTTGCTCTATCCACTGCGCCACCTAGCAGTCCCCAATTCATATTTTTCTTGGAGGCTTTGGATGTGAGAGCTGTGACTTTGTTGTCTTCTTCTGGTTGTATGTTTTGATCTTCTTTGTCACCAAAGAAAGATTTTATGGTTTGACTTTTTGTGCACAGTTTGCTCATGATCCCAGCCAGTTACTTGAGTTTTAAACTCTTTATTAAGATCAGGGTCTGCTTCCAGTGTGAAGAGTGTACTGTCCCAAGCTTTGGGGGTTTTGTGTAGCTGTTTTCAGAGATATATCTATGGACCTGTAAATTTTCAGTTCTTCCAAGATGGTATGATAAGGGGTGAGGTGTTTATTCCTTTCCTGGCCTGTGCTCTGGTCTATGAGTGACCAAAAGCACTCTTTTCTGCCTTGGAGCTGTGAGGAGGATTCCCTCTTTACCACCACTATAATCTCCACTATGCCAGCACTCCTCCTCGCCACAGGACCGCCACCCAGAACTGTGACCCAGATCCAAGCACGGGCAAAGCAAGAGAATCCTGCACCAACAGAGAGATTCTGGCAATCAGCCACTTGATTCCCCCTCAGTCCATGGGCTGGAAGCTCTGGAAACAGCTGCTGCCCCAGAGCTGCACTGGGGCAGCACCAGGACTGGGGCTGGGAACAAGCTTTTCTCTCACTGCAGACACAGACTTTTCCTACTGACCTTCTAAGTTGTCTTTGATGTTTGTGGGTTGAGAATTTTGGAAATCCCACAGTGACCTGTAATTCAGTCCCCTGAGGCCTGCTTCAGGTTTACTGAGGCCTGGTCTTTTCCTGTGTGCCCATGCTGAACTGTGTTTCTCTCCCAGAATGGTGTGACAGACCTTTCTAATCAACCATCCAGGTTGTCTTGGGCTGGAAATTTGTTTCACTCTGTCTTTTTGTGGGTTTTGCTGTTCTAGAATTTGTTTAGAGTCATTTTTTACAGATATTTGGAGGGTTTTGGGGGAGAGCTCAAGTAAGTCACTGCTTTTACTCCACCATCTTGGCTCTGCCCCCTGAACTCAGGTCTTCCTGACTCCAGGCCCAGCACTCTATCCACTGAGCCTACTTAGCTGTCTTGATGCTTGACTCATTCATTTGTCATAATGGGTAACTCAGTCAAGGGAGCTTTGATCAACCCAGTGTAAAGAGGCCCTGGCTAGAGCCTTTGGGAATACACAGTTAGGAAAAGTAGATGACTAGTGACCCTTGAAATGAGACTAAATAAGGTTCATATGGCTAGGAGGAGGATCAGGTGTGGCATTTAAGAAGTATGAGAGACATAATTTTGGGTAATTAAATAATTTTATTAATAATGCCAGCATTTTAATAAAAGGATGTCAGAGCTGGAAAAAAGACCCACCAAGTACAAAAATATTTAAAGCAATTCTTTTTGTGGTGGCCAAGAATTGGAAGGGGAATGGCTAAACAAGTTGTGGTGTAAGAATGTAATGGAATACTATTCTACTATAAGAAATGATGAGCAGGCAGGTTTCAGAAAAACCTGGAAAGACTTACATGAACTGATGCTGAGTGAGGTGAGCAGAACCATGAGACCATTGTACACAGTAACAGCAGCATTGTGCAATGACTGACTTTGATAGACTTAGCTCTTCTCCGCAATGCAAGGATCTAAGACAATTCCAAAAGACTCATGGAAAATGCTATCCACATCCAGAGAAAGAACTTTGGAGTCTGAATGCAGATTGAAGCATACTATTTGTTCTCTCTCTCTCATTTTTTTTTTGTTTTGTTTCTTCTTTCTCATGATTCCTCCCATTTGTTTTAGTTCTTTGTGACTAATATGAAAATATGTTTAATAAGAATGTATACATAGAGCCTTTATCAGATTGCACACAGTCTTGGGAAGGAGGGAGAGAAAATTTAAAATTCAAAAGCTTATGGAAGTGAATATTGAAAAATAAAAATAAATTAATTAAAAAAAAAAAACGGAGGTCAGTGGCCCTCTCAGATGCCAAAAATAATCATGATGGCAGGCTCATGGCTTTTATACACTTTGGAACGGGGGTGTTCTTCGGGGGTGTTCTTCGGGATGACAATTCTGATTGGTTAATAATTAATGAGAGAGAGACTTTACAAACAAAAGTAAACTCACTCCAGTGAGATGCTGAGAGTGATTTCACTTTACTCTTGGCCAGAGACACTATCCCGATACTCAGGTCACACACAGCCTTGGACCATCTAGACAAAGAATTAGTACCCTCCACCCAAGCTCGAGCTAGTTGGATGGAGTAGCAATACCCCAAATGTGGAGAATGTTAGCCCTATCTTCCATCAGCCCTGTCATTGAGAAGTTGGACAAGAAAAAAAAGCTTGGGTCTCCCCAGTTTTAATAATTGGCTGTTAATATGAGAGAGAAATAATCATTTCTCTCACAGGAGAAAACAGTGTTGTGAAAACCTTGAGAAGGAAATAGCATCAGGAGCATATTCAACAGTGTCAAATGTAGTAAAAAGGTCAAGAAGAATGAGGACTGAGAAAAGATCATCTAATTTGGTAAATAGAAAATCATTGGTAACTTATCTTTACATTGGTAAAATCATTTGGATAAAGCAGTTTAGGTTGATTAGTGAGGTTGGAAGCCATTTTGCTAAAGATTTTGGAGTGAGAGGGGAGGAAGTAGAGGCAATGAGGATGGATGGCTTTTTCTAAGTTTCCTGTCCTACCTCTCACCTCCTATCTTGCCCTACCTCTCCCAACTCATGTGCATCTGAAGCCTGTTTTTAAAAACTAGTTATTTATTTAATGAAGTTTAATGTTTTTTTTTCTTTAATGCTAACTATTCATATAGCACTTTTAACTACAGTATTTTATATACCTTATCTCATTTGAGACTCAAAACATTTCATTGAAGGAGAGAGGTGTGTTTAAAATGCTCAGTAAAGATAGATACAAAATTTAAAATGCTTTTGTTTAAACTTTTGTTTCCCTTTTTGCATACTTCTCTGCTGCCAAATTTAAATCTTTTTTACTTATATATGTCTCACAGCTAATATGTTTTTTGTGAGTTAGTGACCATCTGTTAAAAGATAGAAAAGGTTTAGTGCATTGCTTTTCCTATGCAGATTTAGTTTTAATTTCTAATGAATTAAAAGAAGAAACAGTACAAATTAGTAAGGCAGATAACCTGTTATATTTCTTTTTTATATTCTGCATGCTTATAGCATTTTATTTGTAATTTTTACCACATTTTATAGAAAATCAGTTTCACTTTTAAGAGCCACAAAAGCTTGTATCTGTCTTTAACGTAAATATTCCTTAAGTAGTTTTTCTGTATGGGAAGTTCTAGAAATGAAGTCAATAATTCTATTAATGCTACTTATAGTCATGGAGAAGAGAATTTATGCTATACTTTAATGTATGAATTGAATGTGACAATCTTAAAGCTGCATATGAACAAATGTATATAAAATATTTTACCTTTTAAAAAGTTGTTTATAATAAAGAATTTACTAATGTGTGTATGCATGTATGTGTATATGTCTTTTGCAGGTGCTGACCTTAAGGAAAGAACACAGATGAATGTGAATGAAGTTAGTTCTTTTGTCTCCAAATCAAGAGCAGTAATTAATGAAATAGGTGAGTCAATTCATTGAAAATGACATTAAAAGTCAGGTAAAAAAAGTGGCAAAATATATGAGTAATTGTTTCTACATAAGAGTTCAGCTAAAAGTATATTTATAACTAGATTATTATAGCTCATAGATTACTATTTTTAAATTGTATTCAGTAAAATTTAGTTTTGGAAAATGTGTGTGTGTATTTGTGTGTGTGTGTGTGTGTGTGTGTGTGTGTATAACCATGGAAGCTGACATTTAATTAATTGACTGGATGTGTTATTTCAAGAAGGTTAAAAGGAAAGAAGAGACTAATTTGTCTTAATCCTTTACATCATCGATTAATAGCATTAAGTTGAAATACCTTTGAGATGATTATCTACTTTGACCTTCTCATTTTACAGATGAGAAAACTGAGGCTCAGAGAAATTAAATTATTCACTAAAGGTTACAGAAGTAGTAAATTGCAGAGCCAGGATTTATATCCAGGTCCTTTGACTCTAGACCTACCTCTCTGTTGTCCTATGATGTCCATTTTTGAAGTTAATTTTATTCAGCAAAACTAGTTAATTGACATAGCCAAGATCTTTTTGCCTCTATTTCCCAGTGCTTAGCACAATACCTCGCGTATAATAGGTGTCTTATAAATAGTAATTCATTGAATAATTTATTGATCCAAACTGAGATCTTCTGATTTTGATATTCAGTATACTTTCCTTTGCACTACAGTGTGCCTGTGTTAATAGGTCCATTTCACTGTGCCTTCTCAAAATTGCATGACAAGGAAGAATGGGAAGAGATAGGCTTTCAGAACCTCTCAAGTCACATTGTATTTCAACTGCCAACAATTTCCTATCCCCGCCCCCAATCTTTACAAAGGAATGGAGGGAGGTATCTTCTCTTATATTTTTAAAATTAATTGTTTATTTTTAATATTTGTTTTTAAAAGTTGAGTTCCAAATTCTTGCTCTTATTCCAGCTCCTGCTCTACCAATTGAGAAGGCAAGTAATATATCAGTGATACATGTGAAGTCATGCAAAACATTTCTGCATTAGTCAGTTGAAAATAAAAGCAAGAAAATAAAGTGAAAAAAAGATTTCACTCTATACTCGGATAGTATTTTTCATCATAATTTCTTTGTATTTGTCTTGATCAAAGTCGCCAAGTCTTTCACATTTGATCATCATTATAGTATTGGTGTTACTATGTCTATTGTTCTAGTTCTAATCACTTAACTTTGTATCAGTTAATATGTCTTCCCAGGTTTTTCTGAAATCATCCTGTTTTTCACTTCTTATAGCACAGTAATATTCCATCACAATCACATGCCACTACTTGTTCAGCCATTCTCCAACTGACGGACATTCCCAGAATTTTCCATTTTTTGCCACCACTAAAAGAGCTGCTGTAGGCTGATTTCAGAAAAACCTGGACTTAAGTGAACTGATGCTGAGTGAAGGGAACAGAACCAGGAGAACTAACAGCAACACTGTGTGATGATCAACTTTGATATACTTAGCTTTTCTCAGTGATACAGTGATCTAAGACAATTCCAAAAGACTCATGATGGAAAATGCTATGTGAATCCAGAGAAAGAACTGTGGAGTCTGAATGCAAATCAAAGCAACCATTTTCTCTCTCTCTTTTTTTCTTTCTTGTGGTTTTTCCATTTCATTCTGATTATTCTTTCACAACATGACTAATGTGGAAATTGTTTAATATGATTGTACATGTATAGCCTATATCAGATTGCATGCTGTCTTGGGAGGGGGAGAAGGGGAAGGAGGGAGAAAAACATTTGGAACTCAAAATCTTATAAAAGTGAATGTTGAAAACAAACAAAAAAAGAAATAAAAGAAAAAGCAAAGTTGCAAATAAACTTAAATAGTAACAAAAAAAAGAGTTGCTATAAATATAGGTCCATTTTGTTTTTCTTTGATCTCTTTGGGATATAGACTTAGTAGTGGTATTGCTGGGTCAAAGGGTATGCATAGTTTTTATAACTCATTGCCTGTAGTTCCAGATTGTTGGGACAGCTAGGTGGCGCAGTAGATAGAGCTCCTGCCTTGGAGTCAGGAGGACCTGAGTTCAAATATGGCCTCAGACCCTTGACACTTACTAGCTGCATGATCCTGGGCAAGTCACTTAACCCCATTGCCTCACCAAAAAAAAAAAAATGTTCTCCAGAATAGTTGGACCAGTTCATAATTCCATCAACAGTATATCAGTGTACTTTTATTCATTATCCGTCCAGGTTTTGTCATTTTCCTTTTCTGTCATGTTAGCCAATATGGTAAGTATGAGGAGGTACCTCAGAGTTGTTTTAATTTGTATTTCTCTAATCCATAGTGATTTAGAGCATTTTCATACGACTATTGATAGCTTTGATTTCTTCTTTTGACAATTGTCTGTTTATATCCTTTGACCATTTATCAGTTGGGGAATGGCTCTTATTTTTATAAATTTGATTTAATTCCCTATATGTTTGAGAAATGAGGTGTGTATCAGAGAGACTTGTTGTTGAAAAAAAAATCACCACTTTCCTGCCTTCCTTTAAATTTTGGATGCAGTGGTTTTGTTTGTGCAAAGAAGGAAATAGCAAAGTACTCCAATATCTCTGCCAAGAAAACCCCAAAAAGGGGTCACAAAGAGTCAGACATTACTGTAATGCTTAAATGACATCAACAGAAATGAAAATTACCCATTTTACTTCCCACGATTCTTTCTTTCTCTTGTTTGGTCATAAACTCTTCCCTTTTCCATAGGTCTGAAAGGTAAAATTTTCCATGTTCTCCTAATTTGCTTATGATATCACCCTTTATGTCTAAATCATGTAACCATTTTGACCTTATCTTGTTATATGGTGTGAAATGGTGGTCTGTGCCTAGTTTCTGCCAGATTACTTTCCAGTTTTCCCAGTAATTTTTGTCATCTAGTGAGTTCTTGGCCCTTCCCCCCAAATTGAGAACTTTGGTTTATATCAAAGCTAGGTTAATATAGTCATTTATGCTCTATATTGTGTACCTAATCTATTCTACTAAGCCATCACTCTTTTTTAACCAATACCCAATTGTTTTGGTGATTATTGCTTTTTAGTAGTTTGAAATCCTGTCCTTGCCTTTGCAAAAAAGGAAAAATTGCCATCCTGTATTTTTTCTTCCAAGTGTCTATTGCTTTCCTCCACCTTAGAGATTATACTCCATACCCTGTAAACTCAGATAACATCCCCTATCTCATTTATGTAACTCTTTTAATGGTTGCAAAGCACTTTATATAGATGAACTTAATGGATCCTTAGGACACCTCTGAGAGGTCAGTACTACAAGTATTATCCCCACTTTGCAGGTGAATATGCTGCAGCTCAGAGTTGCTAACTAACTTCCCTGGCCACACAACCCTTATGTGTCAGATTGGTTTCTAATCCAAGCCTTCCTAACTCTCTACATCCTGTCTTCTATACCATGATGCCTCCTCTTCCCTCAAATTCCAATTTACTTTCTTCTTCTTCACAAAGAATCAGGTTTCGTGTGTGTGTGTATGTATGTATATGTGTATATCATATATATACATATACACACATGCACATTTAGGCACACACACAAATATACATAGGTCATAAATATATGTGTATATATACATGTTTATATACATATGTGTGCACATACATGTGTAGACTAAGGGGAAAGGTAGCTTGCTTTTTACTCACAGACACACACAAACACACATTATACATAGCACACTTCTAACACAAATTACCTTCCACAAAGACAGTAAACAGTAGTGACAAAATTTCTTAAAAAATAATTTAGTGTACACAAATATAAGTCTCCCTTTTTAGGTCAAATTCTGGGATCCTTTACAGTTTCCCAAATACTAAAGGATACCACCTTGTCTAGATATGATTTGATTTTATTACAATCAAAAGAACCTCACTTTGGTCAGCAGAGACAGGGATGAGACTTGGCTAAATTCTTCTAGTTATCCAAGTATTTGCAAATACACAGTCCATAATTTGAAAACAGAGCCATCTTTTTTGAGGACCTGTCAGAGGGGCCACTTATAGTCCATAATTACAATCCCTTTTTTAGAGGGGCCTGTTGGAGTGGACTCAAAATTGCTCATGGGTCTTTATCAGACCCTTGATTAAAGAGCTAAGAACTCAACTGAAAGAGACAGGAGCTCTTTTAATTCAAGAGATACCTTTCCCATGCTAAACCTCCAAATTGAATCTGGACTGGACACAAAAGAGGTCTTACTGGTAATGGGCATCTGAGGTTGAAAACGGTGGCCAGCCAGGCAGGAATCTTGGAATCCCACTTTCTGAAACCAGAGACATCAACTTGAAATAAAAAAGACTATCAACATAGCAAAAACTAGGATCTGTAATGGAAGCAAGGGAATTGCAATTCAAGGCCACCATGCAGCACCAGAGTACTGGAGCGACTGAGGAAGCAGTTGAATTTGGAGTTTTTATAGAATGCTAGGGCAGAGGGAATGGGGTACAATTCTTGCAATGGCAGAGCTGCAGATGTGATGAGAGTTGGAACATTCCATAGAATGGCATAACTCAGGTGTAGCAGCAAGGAGTGATAGAAATGATAGAACCAGTTCCTCAGGCAGATTATTCCTCTGGCAGATTATTCCTCTGGCAGTTTGTAGCTCTGGGGTCGGATTGGGGTCCAGCTGCATTTAGCAGCTCTGTCTGCCTCAGTTACTTCTTCTGTAAAATAAGGTTGATGATAACTCCTATGGTAGTTGAGAGGATAAAATGAAATATTTGTGAGGAGCTTTGCAAACATATAAATACTTGCTATTAGCTATTATTATTAATAAAAATAAAGTATATTTTAAACATTGTTAATGAAGAATCATTTCTTTGTAGCATAACTGTTTGGTCCATTTTCATATCTTATTAGTGTTATTAATAAGATAAACCTCAAAATCTGAAATAGTTTTAGAAAGAAATTTGTTTGGTCACTTGGGAGAGGAAGAAAGCCAGAAAAAGGCTTCCTGTCTAGTCT